ACTTCACGTTGTATATTACATAATATGATATTCTATTAAAGTGCATATAATATTAGGCATAGCCTCCAAATGAAAAGATTTAATCACAAAATAACACTTTATATTGTATGTAAACATTATTGATTTTATTTAAACATTGTATTTATAGTATTTTTCTTTATAATTTAAATATTTTATTTCATTTGATTAATAAAAATTATTGACCACTAATCTCAAATCTTTATATCAAATATGCAAAATAAAATTTCCCCTTTTTTCCATATATAGAAGAAGGAAAATGTTTAGCATATAATATTTTAGTTATAAATATAATGTTTTATGTATAATATGATGAACATTATGCAGTCTATTATTTGACATGCAAGATATTATATAAATTAAATCATTTAATACCACGTTATCATATATAATTATACATTGTAAACCATAACATGACATTATACTTGAACATTAAAGATAAAAAATATTATATAAATTAAATTGTTTAATACAACATCATATTATATATTGTATGCTAAATTTAATGAATAAAACTTCTAAATAAAAATAGAGGGAATCAATTTCAAACGCTGAAATTAAAAGGATTTATTTTTTCTTTCTTTTTTTGAATTTTTTTAATTTATACCTTAGGAACAAATTAAACTTTATTAATTGTGATATTTATAATTAATTTTACAAAAATTTTTATGTAAGATTTAATTAAAATAAAATATAAAATAATAGTACAAATAAATATTATATTATATTTTAATTTTACATTTTATTTTAATTAAATATAATATAAAATTTTATATAAAATTAATTACCAAATGCGGTAATTAATAAAGTCTCAGGCACATGTAAGACAAATTTATTTATTTATTTATTTTTAAATTTTCTTTTGCCATGTTTTGGACTTTTAGCTGGAAAATCTTTTGACGTTTTCATGCGGCTGCTTTTGCGCGCGTGTTGATGCTGTATTTAATGAGTTTGGTGATCCAAATATGACTTAAAACAGTTGATTAGTGAATTGTAAGCTCCCATAAATGACTGCTACAACCTAACTTCTTTTCGTCAATGTTTTGATGCTTTGATTGGCATTTTTGGGTTTTAATTCTAAACAATAAACGTAAGATTAAGTGCGTAAGATTAAATAATGGTCAAAATCACATTAAAAAAAAATGCTATTGTGCATTGCAGTTAGGACTTTAATCTTTATTTCTTACTTAGTCTTTTCCTAGTTAGTATCATGATCAAGACTCGTGAAAATAGGCAATGTTTTGTTGAAAATAATGTCTTTGAAAATGTTTCTTATTATGATTGCACCACTAATTCCGACCCTACTTATCAAGGTGTTACGTTGCTCACCATTCATTTTAAAGGATTGCTTTAAGGATTTTTTTAAGAAGTGGACTTAATATATATGTTAAATGTATAATTAATATATTTTTTAATGATAAATTAATATAAAAATAAAAATATAATAATTACATAATATTATTAAAAATAAAAAATAAAGTAAAAACTAATTAAATAATTA